GGGAGCGTGCGCGCGCGCGCGCTCGCGTGGGGATACGGGTCTGGATTCCAGGACCAAGATCCTACCTTTCTCCCCGCCGTTGGGCTGCGTGGGAGAGGCCACGGGGTTCCGCGAGCGCGCAAAGGCACTCATTAGCGGCAGCGCGCCGGGCCGGTGGTTCCGGGGCCTACGGGAGGGAAGGTAGATTAGGGCGATGATGTCCTCAACGAGCGCCCGGCTGGGCACTCGCGCTCTCCAGAGGTCACTCACCAGTCCTCAGGATCGCAGTCCCGGAAGCCTTTGGCGAAGGGGTTGCTGGCAATCTTGAGCTGCGTGATCTGCAGGGGAAGGAGCGTGAGAAAGAAGTTGGGACCCTGCAGCCCGCGGCCACCCGACCTGGCGGCGGCCAGCCGGGGAGTGTCAGGAGACACCCGGCCAGGGCGCACCTCTTTGCGCTGCCAAGACCAGAATCGGGCCCCAGCTGCCCCCTGTTCCACGGACACTGTGTTTCCTTCTTTCAGTAGGGGGTCAGGGAGCCTTCTCTCACTAGAAGACCCTCTCTTTGCCACCCCAAATAAATAGGGGTAAGAACCTCGTGCCCCTGACTGGGATGGGAATGTGGTCACTTCCGCCCCCCATAGCTCAGTGGGGGAAACTGTGCGGAGCCCTAGGAATCTGGGTAAACCTCAGATCAGGCCCCAGATGGGAAGTTTCCGGAATGGTTTGGAAAACAAACTTTCAGGCTGCAGTGACAGTCCCCGCACAGAGGTCAAACTGATAGGAGGCTGGGGCAGCCTGCTCAGAGGGAGGGGGGCAGCTTAAGGTCTGGAGGGGAGAGGGGGGGAGGGCAGTTGGATTGTGCTCTACCAGGATCCTGCCATCCCTGCTGTGGCGACCAGTAAATGTTGCACCATTTCCCAAAACGTTGAATGTAACCGACCCTCCTGGAGACCTCCAGGCAGGCGCTCACCCGGTGGTTCTGGTAGGCAGTGACAGCGGTGAATCGTGTCTCCTCGAATACAAACGTTTTGAAGTTCTCTTCTGCATATTTCTCGCTATCTTTTCGAGGGTCCACATAGACAACATGGAAGCGGGGCTGGTATCTGTGCATGGAGTTGAGAATAATCTGGAAGACAGGGTGGGGATCAGCTCCAGTAGTGAGGCTGGATGGCAGATCCCAGGTGGAGAAGGGACACAGGCAGAGGAATTGGGGAGGCAATGGATTTCCTCGGGTGATTTGGGCAAAACCCTTGGTTACTTAAACTAGGCCCGGCTGTGTGACCCATTTGGGGTGTCCAGGAAAAAAAAAATTCCAAGTGGCAAACAATCAATGTAGATTTTCTTAGATCCTGAACATTTGCCAAGGTGGGGGGGGCCTTCAAGGGGAAGAGGTCAGCCCAGCCAGAAGGCAGCCTCACTGGCCTTGATTCTATGAGCTTCCTTCCAACCTCACACATAGCCCTCCATCTTTTCCAATTAAAAAAGTCTCCAACATAAACTTAGGAGTAGGGTGAGAGCTAAGTGTCTCTCCTTGGTCCCTGGTCTACAAGTCCCTTCCTGGAGGCCTGTCCCACTGCCAGTCTAGCTCTGTCTCTGGCTTGGAGGACTCCAGAGGGCTTGCAGGAGGGACTTCCCTGAAGCTGAGAAGGGGTTGCTCACATGGCCATTGTCGTCCAACAGGTTGTTGGTCAGCTTGAGTTTGTCGAAGGACACGATTTGCTTCATCCACTGTGCACCCTTGGCTGGCGAGTCAGGATGGTAGTGCACACGGCCAGGAGTGGCAGGGTCTGCCTTGCCTGCCACCAGCCAAGAGGAGCTGTGAAAGGCATACCTATGGGGTGGGGGGTGGGGTTATGCTACATTGAGGTAAACTAGAAGGGCGCTGCCTAATATGCGAAGTGAACCCCAAAAGTGAATAAAGAGTTTCCTCACCAGGGAGCTCAAACCCTCCAAAGTCATATGGACTGCAAGCTTTTAATAATATGATTGTGGAAAACAGGAAATCTACACCAGCCCCCATACCCCAAACAAGCTGGGAACCCAGCTCTACTGGAACACCAAAAGAGGGGGCCTTGCTCCCCTCCTCTCCTCATTTCGATGCATACGGGTCTGCCCACCTCAATGCAACATGGCTGACCAGATGGCGTCAGGCACGGGGCAGTGCTCATTCACTTTTATTAATTGCTGTTAATTGTCCTAGCAGCCAAGGCCCGCCCTGCATAATCTCTCCTGGCCACCCCACCTTTCCGGCCAAGCTCTGGGACTGAGGGTTCCCTGGAGATGGGGGAAGGGGACTAAGCACACAGGCTTGCCTCTTGGGAGAGGGCTACAGGAGGAAACCAAGGACGGTGTGCTTGGCCCACCCCCTTCAGGCCACTCTGGGCCCCCCACCCACCTTAAGGGTGTCAGAGTTGCTTTGGGCCTAAAGCTGTGACTTCCTAAGGCAGACTTTGGAGAAGGGATGTGGTGGAGTTCTGGGGTTCACTGGGAAGGGGAGGATGCAGATCGAGCTAAAAGGGGCAAGTCAGCAAAGGCACCTGAGAACTTCATGCTATAGATGACACTTGGAGTCAGTCACCTGCAGATCTAGTGCTTCCTAGAGTGCCTTCCCAGGTCCCAAGTACACATAACCCAAGTGGCTGAAAGGGTCTGGCTCACCGGTAGCGCTTGTCATCCACCGGCACGAAGTCCATGAGCAGCATGTAGTCAGCCATGGGGTCCATGCCGAACAGCTTCACTTGGAACGTGGGGAACATTCGCCTGAGGGTATTGGGACCTCAGGTCACCTCAGTGGGGGAGGACAGGGCTGCCACGCCTTGACTTCCCCAGGGAACTGGCAGCCCTTCACTAGTAGACCCCTCTGGTCTCCCTCCAGGCTGCCTGCCTGCCTGCCGTTTTCTACCCAGCCTTTTAGTCGCCATTCTATCTCAGCGAACTACACAATCACCGGCAAGTGAGCGAGCGGCAGGCCAGGCCTCAGATCCAAGGCCTTGGAGCCCCAAGCTTCTTCTGCCACCTTTGCCCGTATATGCACAGCTTTTCCCTGTGTGTGGCTTCCTTAGCTTCCTGAACTTAGCCTTGGAATCAGGGTCCCTAAAACACAGGTTCCCCTAACACCAGCTTCTCCTCCCGCCACAGAACCTCCCTAGCAGCTCCCGGCTCCAACAAAGTGAAACTGAGTACGGGTACATTCGCAAGGATCTCCATTGCCCTTTCTGTGGGGTCTGCGGCTCTTCCCCACTGTCTGCCGCTAGGCATGGCTGACACTTCAGATCCCCAACTCTTCAGGCCTGGCCCAATGTTGGAGTGTCCCCCACCTTCCGCAGGACACAGGCAAATTCCTGCTTCCCTCAGGACGCAGAACCCCAAGATGCAGCCTCCCAGGCAGGACTTGGCTTATATCGAATCTCCTCCGGACCCCAACTCCGTAACCCACCAGGGATCTAGAAAGGACATTCTGACAATAGGCCACTCCTCACTGGCAGTGCTACCGAAGCAGTCCCTGGGCCTGGGGAACAACACAAGCCTTGGCCTCCTTTTCCTCTCCCGCTGCCTCCCCTCAAAAGCAACTTGCTGCAGACAGTAGACAAAACACATACTAGGACTCTGACAGGCGTCCTGCCACCCCGACCCAGCCTCTGCGAGCTGGCGGGTGTTGCCGAATACCGGCCCCTAGAGTAAAGCTGGCTGCAGACAGGATCCAGGCTGGGCTGGGTTGGACCCCACGGGTCCTGCCGCTGTTGAGGAGGTCCATGTACCCACGACCAGCAAAAGAAGCCTGGAGAAAACCCACACAGCAGGATCGCAGGACAGGCCTCAAGTTCCCCCAGGAAGACTGCGCAGCAGGGAAACAGAAACCACCAGGTTTTGCAAACAGACTCTGAGATAGATCCCCTTGGCTGCACGGACACCGAGCTGGTGTGTACATTAGACACAGCCCAGCACCCGCCTTTGTCTTCTGGTCAATCGGGAGCATCTGCAAAACTTGTTCCCCTTCTCTCTTAGCCCTTAAAACAAATACAGGCTGATTGGAAGGCAGACGCCCGGCTTGTGCAGAGCTGGGCCCACAACCACCTGAGGAAACGGGGGGTAGCGAAATTTCCACCGAATTGAGCGCACTCTTTTTTAGAGGGTCTTCATTCTCTCTTAAAAACCATCCAGGCAAATCGCTTGCTTTCTACTCTTTATCTTGCCGTCATAGACTCAACTCAGGAACCCAAACTGAAATTTCCTTTGAGGTAGAACCCACTGGGAACCATCTGGCCGGCCAGGCCCCTCGGTGGAGGATCCCCCTCCTCCAGCCGCTGCTCCCCCCGGCCCCGGAGCGTCCTGGCGGGGGGGGGGGCGGGAGGCTGCGAATGTCGAGACCTCTTTCCGCCTCCTGCCTCCTGCGCGCCCGTACGGGCGGCTGTCGCCGGAGCCGGGACCGCAGAGAACGAAGAGTGAAGAAGGCGGCAAGGCCCGGAGGAGCCCGCAGGTGTTTGGGCCGCGCCCCCCACCCCCCCCCCCACCCGGCTTCTCGGCCCCCCTCGAGCGCATCGGTCCTCGGCGCGCAGCCAGAGCGTGGCAGCACGTGGGGAGGGTCGCGGCGCGCGGGGAGGGGCGCCCTGACCTGCCGGCCTTGGTGACGATCATCTCGGTGCCCAGCTGATTGAACTCGTCCCACAGCGCCTTCATCTCCAGCTGCACGCTCACGCTGGCCACCTTCGCGTTCTTCTTCACCGGCGCCTTGGCGGCGGCCGCACAGCTGACCCCGGGGCCCTCGGGCTCGGCGGCG